TGTGTGTGTGTGTGTGTGTGTGTGTGTGTGTGTGTGTGTGTGTGTGTAGTGGGTATCCTCCCAAGCCTTGAGGGGTGGGCTTCTCATTCTGGATTTAACATTTTACTAGTATTTCTCCGCCTGCTTTTCTCCTCAATGGCATGGACATCATTCCAGTTGGGCGAGTGTATCTGAAAAAGAGTGAAATATTCAAGTTAAGAAAGTCACTGCAGATGAAGCTAGGGATGCTGTACAAAGGACTCCAGGGGGAGCTGATTTCTCTTCAGTAGCATTTAAAACTGAGGCAACTTCCAAAGAAGCAAATGGCTGGTGTTCTCCCCTCCTCCTTTCTCCGAGCTGGGAAGGGATGGAACTTAATGCCAGTGTGAGCAGTGTGGGTTGGTACTAAAACCATTCAGAGAAAACACTGTCATTTTCCTCTAATTTGCAAATTGCAGCTATTCATGTTGGACTGTAGAGCTGAGGCGAAAGAGGCCCCGATTCTCACCTGCAGTTACTGAGACAAGGCTGGCAGTGAGGGAGAGGGATGCTCCAACTTGTGGCTTGTACTGCAAGCTAGACACAGCAGTTGCTTTGCATCCTATCTTTCTTCAGCCATGAAGTAAGTGTGTGTGTGCATGCGTGTCTGTGTGTGTCTGCGTGCGCCCATGCGTGCACACACACATAGAAACATGTATCTTCATGTAGTTCTCTATCTCTATATTACACATAGATATCTTTTAGTGGCTTTTTTTTTATGTGGTTTAGAAACCTGTAAGTTCCACTAGTTTTCCAGCTTCTGCAAAATGATGAAAGAAAATAAAGGTAGAATGACGGTAGGTTCCTTCAAACAGAGGAAGAGGAAAAGACGAGGAAATGAATCTCCTCGGGGACAACAGAGTTCTGTTCAGTTAAAATTATCCTGTATAAAATAAACTCCATCAAATGATTGAATTCTGAGCTTTCCAGTGATTTCAGTTTTCTTCTTTGCTCAGGTCCTTGCGGGTGGCTTTCGGGACCATAGCAAACTGATCACTTGAGATATGAATTTATAGTGAGATGAGCCTGTAGCCTGGAGGAGGAGGTACTTACCGACTAAATGAGGGATGTAGAGTGCTGGGGGGCTGGAGGAAGTAATGAGATAGAGACACAACAAATGCTGCTGCTGCCTGCACCCAGGGTGAAAACTGTAAAATGCAGACCTGAGCAGGGATGACCCCTCAGATGTAAATACTGCCTTTCACTTGGAATTCTCCTCTTACTGGTGTGCAAGGCCAGAGATAGGATCGGAAAGTCAAATATCTCTCTCTCTCTCTCTCTCTCTCTCTCTCTCTCTCTCTCTTTCTCTCTCTCTCTCTCTCTCCCTCTTTCTCTCCCTTGCTCTCTCTTCTTCTTCCATCCCTTCTGTATCTTTCCTGAATAGGTTAGTAAATGACATGTCTGAGAGCAAGAATCGGATCTAGTAGGTCTTTCAAATCCAGGAATTTGAGGCTAATGAAATTAGCTTGTGGCCAGGGCTCTGCCAAGTAGAATTAAATCACAGTAACTGCCCTGTGATGCATTTTCAGCCCCAAAGAAGCATTGGGGAGGAATTTCTGGAGATTTGTTTCTGAGCCTGGGCAGAATAATACTCTCTTAATGCTTAGAAAGATTAAACATAAATTATTACTGATGAGGAGTAACATATTTTTAAAAACTAATCACAGGATAGGGATGGCTTAAAGCGAGGAGGTTACATAATGTGGTGGCCGAAGGATGAATCTCTCCTGAGCAGTGTTTTATAGCCATAACTGAGAAACATTGCAGTGTTGAGAAAGAAGATCATTGCTGATCAAGGATGCTCTGCTACTCACTTACATCCTGATTCTAATGAAATACTATTTTTTTGTGCAGTGACATGATCCAGGCTGTGGGCCCTTCATTGCATGTCATCTGTTCTCTCTCTCTCTCTCTCTCTCTCTCTCTCTCTCTCTCTCTCTCTGTGTGTGTGTGTGTGTGTGTGTGTGTGTGTGTGTGTGTGTGTGTGTAGTATCTGCCCAATAAATAACTAGCTTGAGAAACTGTTTATCCTTACTGAATGTAACAACACAAGTCTAGGCCTAGGAACTTTGTACCAGAAATGAGGCTCATTTGCAAGTGTGTCAAAGGTTTCCTTCCATTCACTAGAACTTGCATGTAACATTCAGACTTTAGGGCACTAGATGCCTACCCTCATTCTTTCTCTCAGATCAATTCAGAGGGTGATATTGTATTACTATAGGTGGTGGGGCTTCTTTTTTTAAAAACAACAACTCTAACCTACACTTTAAATCACATGAAGAAAGGTACCACTGCCATTTGGAATCATCCCTGCCACAGCCTCTGCCTCCACATTTAC